AACAAGCTGAGTGGTCAATCCGCAGCGTCGGGCAGACATGGTGGATAGTTTGGGTTTTGCTTATTTTCATTTTGTGGGGTTTTGTTTATACTTTGGAGAGAAATAAAACCATAGATGGTTAAAGATATGCTTTACCTTACACCATTTCACACCAACGTGGACCTGCTTGGACTGGACTTATATTTATGTTGTATTAAGTTACTAATCTATATATTGGTTATAACAGCATCTAGCAAAAAAAAAAAAAACCTGCAAAAAAATCCAGGCCCTGTGTTGGACTGAGGTTTGCTTCTCAAGGAGGAGAGATTTTGTTGTCTATGGCAATTTCCTTGTACAGCTTGTATCATTTTTTTTAATTTTGTTTCATTTTGTTGGGTTTTTTTCTGTTTGCAGTACCTTTTGTAATATATTTTTTGGTTTGCAAGACCCCCATCCAAGTACATTCCTGTATAAAGTATTTTGCACTATTTAAAAAAAAAAAAGAAAAAAGAAAAGAAACAAACTCATATTGATGAAGTCAGGTTGTGCAATATAATGGATAGTCACAATGTTCATCATTGTACCTGTAATGTAACTAATTTTAAATGTACTATTTTAAATATGTAAAATAAATTTTCACCATGAGCATGTTTTAATGAGGTAAAAGAACTAGTTTGACCCTTTTTTTTTGGTTTGTTTTGGTTTGTTTTTTTTTTAAATTTTGTTTATAATATTTTGTTGCTTATTTAACAAATGTGTGGATATATATTTTTCTTTTCTGATTTTTAGAAATTTGTCAGTCTGAAATGACTAATGCAAGAAAGTGGTTTTTTGGTATTAAATACAGAAGGTACAACCCTCTTTTCAGTAATACCTGTTGATTTCTTTTAACATCTAAAATGACTAGATGGTAATGCATGATGTGTGCTACAAATTGTGTTACCTTACACAAGTATCTCGAGGCACAGAACTGAACACGAGGAAAGATTTTGTGTCAGATTCACTAAAAATAATAACTTGATCTCTGCTGCCGTTTCAGTTAAGAGAAATGATGACTTTACCTGTCAGTCAGTACTGAATGCTACCTGGAATTGCATGTTAAGCCAAAGGAATTGCTTAGCACGTCTCTTGCACATCCACCACGGCCATTCCTGGGGTCCTCTCTAACCACACTATGCAACCACAGGCCCTTAGAGTCATCCACGGTACCAGACTCCTGGTGAAGACTGATTTCATGGCAGCTGTACAGTAAAATTCTGCATCAAGTTCTGTAGTCAGATGAATTGTGGCCAGGAAGGTGTAACAAAATTGAAAGACATTGCACTTCTCTTTTTCTCGCTGCAGTGAGATTTAAAGTCTTAGATGATGTTTTCAGACCCAAGCAGCTGAAACAATCCTGAAATCAAAAAGATACTTGAATAATAGAAGTCCTGTGGGTAAAAAACAACCTGGAGCAACTCTCTCTAGTCTGCCAGATCATATTGACTAATTAGTTTAGGTAATGAAACTGTTTCTTCTGTTGACAAATACTGTACAGAAAATATATGGTTGATCCAGTAGTATTGGCACCATGAATTATTCACCCGTAGGTCAGGGAGTTCATCAGCAACGTCCTTGACTCCTACCATATCTTAAAGGAAAACATCCTGAAGTGTTGGATAACTTGCCCTGCTCTGCACGTCTCACTCGGACCTTCTCCAGAAATGCCCAAATATCAGTCAGCACTTACTGCTTGGCTGAGACGTGCAGGGTGCTCTGGTGCTCCATGTGCTCAAACATGACTGCCCATGCCAACTCTATGCAGTGGAGACACTAATCCTGGTTGCAGAAACAGTCAACATGGCCCAGTTCAGTCTTGTGTCAGAGGCAGCCTTTTGGTCTTTCTTTAATTGACCTATTGTACAGCTCCCATCAGGTGCTGAGGTATAAGCAGAAAACGCTTAGGAATCAGAGTGTTCATGGGGGAGCGTCGGCTGTGTGGGGCATCCTTTGAGTCCTACCTTGCTAACATACTGCATTTTATTGGCATCACAGGTGATCCTTGGATTACATACAACTTGCTTTGTAAAATATATCAAGGTACTGTAGACGTGACATGTGCCAAACATTGGGCTTAAACATGCAAATCAAATTTGCATGACTTAAAGGTGGGCAGATGCTTTGAACCTGGATCCCAGCTCATCACACTGCTGTTTTGAGAGCTTTTATGCTTTGGACAACATATCCCTTCCCAAAATTCCTTTCCCCCAACCTGTCCACTATTTAAACCAAATGAAATCCATATTAAAAACTCTTTTGTTTTTTTCTTAATTTCTTATGTCTGCTTTGATATGCAATTTCTGTTGTCGACACAGCATTGCTCTTACAAAGGGTGACATGGTCTTTTATTGTTTTGTTTTTTTTCCAAGAGTAAGGTCATAGAAGCAGTAATAAGAGGGGGAAAATTTACTGGAAATGATGCCTGCTGTGATCCTAGCCAAAACCCAGGGCTGACTGATGTCCTCTTTAACTGGATTGGCAAAATCAAATGGGAAATTCTTGGTCTTGAGAGGCACAGCAGAGCTTGTCATTCTAGGAAGTTACTTATTTCTTGAAAAGTTAATGATGCAGCTCCTATTTATTGAGCTATTTTTGTTCTGAATGACATGTAGTGAGCAACACCTTGAACTTCTAAAATTTTTTACTGTACTGAGTAATCTATTAAGACCATTCTTATGTATTTATATTCGTTTCATTGCATTTAACCAAGATGACTGAGTACCAAATTGGTCTTTTAACTGTAGCAAAAATAAAAGAAATTTCTATTTGTGATAATGCAAGACAAAGTCCCTGAAACCAGATGATCAAGTTCTAGTTGCCTGTGCTTCCATCATGGACATTTTTTTTCTGCTCCATGCATTTAAACAGCAAGTGTGGCACAACATCTGCTTCGTAGAACTCTTTAGTTTGGTTTTTAACTTCAACTCTCATTGCTGAGATTGAGACAGGCTTATTGCCAGTGGCTTTCACCTTCTAGGGAATTGCAGTAATCGCAAATGTGGATGCTGGTTCCCCTTTCCAAATCCTTCCCTCCTGCTATGATTTGCCATTTGATTGCTGCGTTTTTTGGTACAACAGGAAGTCATGTTCATGGCATACCCTGCGCATGAGAAAGCGGGCGGAAAAGGAGAGCAGTGGCAAAAATGAAGCCAATGGGCCACGTAAATCCAAGGATATTCTGGGGAACAAAGTCTCTGTTAAAGTGAGTAAGGCCATCTGAAAGCTCTGTGCTGCTCTCCTGCTTCCCATCCTTTTCACCCCCTATAGCATCCTCTCCTGAGAGAGGGAGGGGGCAGCAGTTTTGAGTTTGGGTTTTGATTTTTTGTTGGTTTTTTTTTTTCAACTTTAGTTATCTTTTTTCCCCCCTTTTTTTTTGGTAGTATCCATTTTAGCAGGATTTTTGCATGCAAGATAAAATGCAGCCTTTGTTTATTGTTTTCTTTTTCCTGGCATCCCACATGCAAGTAAGTAATCTTCATTAAAAAACCCAACTATGTACATGGTTAAATAACTTAAAATTGGGACACTAGTGATTAAAATTGGGACACTCTAGCCCAATCTACAGCTCTATCAGAGCAGCTGCAGCAGTGAAAAAGCCACTAGGTGAAACAATGGCCTTGCTGAACTTGATGATTTTTCTTTAGGCCAATATTTCACCACATCTTAAGATAAGGTGTTCACAGCCTTGAGATGCTTGAGGTTTTTAGTCTAGGGAGATGGTCCCAATGACCTCTTTCTTTCCATGTTATCAGACACAGCAGAGATGCTGATTCTGTCTTGCCAGGAGAGGGTCTGTGTGTGTCTGTGTGTGTCTGTGTGTGTGTGTGTCTGTGTGTCTGCGTCTCTTTCTCTCTCTCTGAGATCTCCCAGTATGGAAAAGGTTGAGAACTGTGGGGTTAAACTCCATCTTCTGCTCTGGGTGCCTGACTACTGTGCTCCAACTCAGAGGATCCATCCCTATAAACCGACCATGAGGCCTGCTCAGGACTAATCTGGGGCTTTCCCTCCCAACAGAGGCAAGCAAACACTTGTTGTGATTTTGACACAACCAAAGCCCAGCCTTGATTCAGGAAAGCACTTGAGCATGTCCTTTGGATCCACCCCTTTCCAGGAGAACCCATGATTGTTTTCCTTTGCAGAGGCTTTCTGTCTTATAAGCCTGGTAAAATAGCCCTGGCATGTGCAAAGGGAGGAACCCTGCCACTGCAACCCAGGTGCCCTCGCACCCACTGCGCAGCCACCCTGCCGCCCGCCGGGGAAGGACTGGACCCGAGGGAAGCAGTTGCTTCAGCATGGTGGCACAGTTCTTCCTCCTCTTGCTTTCTCCCCGTTTTTACTACCTGAACGAACTGCAGAATCACTGCTGCTTCTTTGGCAAAAAGCATGTCTTTGCCTTTGCTTCCCTTGTTTTGTTGTCGGTTTGTTTTTTTGTTTGGTTTGTAGGAGCATTTTCTCTACTGTTAGCCATTTCCATGCTGCTCACAACTGTGCTGCTCTGCCCTGACTAACCAATCTCTTTTCTAATCTCTTGTTCTCTTTCTTCCTCTTCATGCTGCCAAACAAGGAGACAAACAGCTCAGAGGAATCAGAGTGTGATGACCTTGACCCCAATACTAGCATGGAGGTAGAGACAATCATCCTTGTGATTATTTTTTTCCCAAGAACATGTGTCCATTTTGAAATGCCTTTGCTGAAAGGGGAGCTGATGGGTCTGTATCGCTCACAGACATATGTGCCAATTCAGTGAGTCACACAAAGTGCCTATTCTGGTTTTGCTAAGCATTGAACTGGAGTTTGGGCTGTCTTTGTGCTGGGAGCAGTGGAGGAAGCTGAGGAACAAGCTCCTGCTGAGCGGGAGGCTCACGTAGCCATGTTCAGTCACTGTTTCCCACCTGGGGCCTCATTCCAACAATAATGAATGTTTGTCAACTGCAAATGTAGCAGCTTTCTGTATTAAAAACACCCCTTGTCCTGGCAATACACACTTTGCTGCCAGTCAGGCTTGTGTTATAAATCACTGGAGCAAATGCTGTACCACAACTGGCGTTGTAAACTATATAGAAAATCAGAACAGACAACATTTCCTTTTTCTCTTAGCAGAGTGGGAAATTGCATTTCTGTCAAGGTCCAGAAGGAGAATGGTAAAACTGGTTGTGGAAATGCACCTGTATCACAGGCAAGGCTGATGCAGATAAGTGGACCCAAATTGCAGTACATTATGCTATGCTTTTTCCCGTGTGAAGCCACCACTTCTACTGGAGTGACCAAAAAATGCCTTGTTCAGAGAGCCTGAAGGAGCTTAAAATCATAAAGAGTTATCTGGTTCTCCCCAATTATCCCCAATATCTTGCAGGATTCTTTTTTTTTTCCTGTGTATACTGACTACACCAAGCATACCTATACATTGAGCAAGGTTCTTACTAAAACAGGCAAGGGCATTGTTCAGACAGACACAGTGATTTTGTGGTGACGACAGGGCAGGTCATTGGAGAACAGGGATATCTGTGTCCTAGCAAGATCTCTGATGCTGTTAGCCAGGCTGCACTGTAAACATCCGGCAGAAGAAAGCTGATCGTCCTCCTGGAGGGAAAAAAAAAGAGGGAGAAGCATATTGAGATGCACCACCTCAGCTGTTAACCTGAAAGGCTGCTTTTATTTTAATTGTGTTGGGATGTGTACTGAAGGAAAGCTTTTGACCCAGCTGACATCCGGAGATTGAATGGTCCTTACCACTAAAGCTGCATTATTCTCAGGAGTGTGTTTGCATTTTCAAAGAGCATTTTGCCAGTCACAGGCAACAACTGGAAGTGTATGAATTTGTTACAAGGTGGTGCCCAGTTATTGCACTTGAGTCTGTGTAAGCTTTCACTCACTGAAAATATGCCCTGTGTCGTAACAGGTGGCTGAGACACAGGTGTCTTATACAGAGCTGCATGAGAATCATTGTTCTTTCTGCAGAGGATTTCTGTGTTTTGACTTTGCTCAACCGAAGGGAAAACAGATGTTTTAAAATTGCCAGTGGAAGGTATCTGAGTCCTTACACTGTCAGCATTTCTAGTCAGTTCTAGCATACTCCACATGGGTCTCCTTGATTGGCTGGTTTGGGTTTTACCATGGGACAGTCTACTGTTCTGAAGTTCAGGAGATAAAAGTCTATGTGAACCAAAAGACACTAATGTGAAGTCTTAGCTATGGTACCAATCTGCTCTTGGGGGAGTAGCTGTGTGCCTGGTGGATGACTTGATTTACGCTCAGAAACCCCATCCCGCATCTCCCAGGTCACTTACTAGAGGTGACAGTGCCACTGCTATGCTACAGTCCCCAGGAGCCATGGTGTTCCTTATGGCTTGGAAAGATTAAGTTTGCTTCTGAACAAAAATGTCTGGGGCTGAGCAAATGTTTAAAATGGCAGAGGGAGAAAAAATACAAGAACAGTTGTGGAGGTGACTTAGTAAGGTCACACTGCCCTGCAAGGAGCAGCATGGCCCTTGCTTTGTGCTGGGTTTAGTACACCTGCAGTCTGGATTGGGTGTGTTCAGCCCATTGGTCTGACTGAGAAATCTTGAGGGGAAAGGATTGCTGATACTCAGTACGAACTAAACAAAATCATCCAGAGGGAGCAGAGCAAGGGCAGGCTCGTAAATGCTCATGAAGCCCTAGAAGAGGCCATGGGGAAGACAGGTCTGTAGAGGTCTGAGGTATTCAGCTCCTGGGAGCCACGGCCCTTTCCCTTCCTTATGAGTTTTTTAATTCTCCTTTTCAAATGTGTTATGAGAAATGAGGCATATTAAGGCCTTGGAAACTAAAGTCTTTTCTCATTAAAACAAACTACTTCCACTTCCAGAGCCTGGTTCAGGGCTTCATTGATTTTCTAGACTTTGTGTCCTGGGCTTAAATAACTGCTAAACAGCACCCCAACCTGTGTGTGCAGTGAACATCTCACCTGGTTTTCCTTTCCCTGCTCTGTCTGGTACATCCAAGCAAAGCCACTGGTGAGCTCCCAGGACAGCTGGAGACAACATGACTGGCTGCCCAAAGAGGGGGAAGACCTTGTCCTCACACCTGACTAAGCTTGTGATGGATTTTATAGACACTGGGAGTGCTGTTAGGAAAGCTGTGCCCCAGCCATCAACATTCAGAGGTGCATGAGTCCCTTGCTGTGTCATTAAGGTGGAGTCGTCTGTAGCTGTCATTACAGCCAGGTAATAACAGGGCAATAACCTGGCTTCTCTTACAGGACTGTCACCCCTGACATCCCTCTTCCTCCCATCATGCATGAGAACATGCACCCAGTGATGGAACAGAGGGAGCAGTCTCTAAATGCAAAGAAAAAATATTAATTACCTGGAAATGTCAGTGCAATTTGCCTCCAGCCTACTCACTGTGCAAGAAGTTGGTAAGCTGGTTGTAGTGTCCATGACGTCCCACAGCTGCTGTGACCTTTCAGATCTCACTTTGCTTGCTATTTATGAAATACCACAGAAGATTCCGTTCAGAGGATTCCACATTTCTGAAGCAGTTTGTCTTTGTTTCAAGGGGACACACAGACAGAAAGAAATGTGCAAAACAGATCATTGAGAGCAGGAAACTTAAATTTCGGGTGACTGTTTAAAAGACCTAAAGTGCCATTACTGGTTTTTGGCCCATGTAGGGACATGCTGGCCTTGGAGAACTTCCTATTCACTGTAGATTTTGCTAGACAAAATATCTTGTGGTGGCTGGTTTTTTTCACTCTGTTTATTAATGTGTCATGAAGTACATAAGGATAGAAATGCTGGGGGTTCTCCCCTTGTTTTCTGCTTTGTGCTGTAGTTTCACAAAACAGAAGGCATGAACTCACCTGTTAAGCATGTGAGTGTAGGAGCAGGCACTTAAGGACCATGTGTACCCACTTGAGTGATAGGAGTAACCTATATTTAAGGAACACTGGAGACTCCCTTTCCACATGTCTGTTGTTAATTGCACAGGGACAGGCAACTCCACTTCTGGGAAGAAGGTGTATGCCCTTGTGAATCAGTAAATATCATCCACACCCACGTCTGGGGTCCTGGACAATGACACAAGTGATTGTCCTACAAGTCTGTGTTGTAACATCTCATAGGGTTTCGATATTGCTGAAGGGATCATAAGTCAGCCATGCAGATCCCAACAGGCTACCTCTCTTATCTAGGTCAATGTTCTTCCAGCAGTCAGAAGATCTGACTGAGCCAAACCTCACTAAATCCAGCAGCAGCTCCCCCTGGCTTTGGGGTGGACCTCACGTGTCGGATTCTGACATGGCTCTAGGTTTCTTATTTTGCACAGCATGACTCCAGCTGCAGTGTGTTACAAGTACTGCTGGCCAACACACATCTGCCACTGAGCATCTGTTGTTTGCTCCAGTGTCTTAGCTGTGCAAAGGAGAGATGAAGCCCAGGCCTACCCCGAGTCACTGGAAGTGCCATCATTAGATTAGTGAGCTGGGCTCTTGCCAAGGTACGTACGTTGAGCTTCATAATTTGGTTTTTTCAGTTATGACATTTCAGCATGTTAAGGACTACTCAGAGACACTTAGAGCAAGATAAGCACTAGAAAACATCCTGTAGTTATTGTGTTAGCACCCCCACAGTCCAAGTGGTTGAGTAAGTAATGGTTTGGTGGATCAGTGGAGCATTGGCTCCAAGCCAATACTCAGCTCAGGCCCAAATGCCTTGAGTTCTCCATCTCTGGAGTAGATCTGACATACTCCTTTGGCAAATTCTTGTACCATACTGGTAAGAAAGCCTTTCCTGGCCTGTTATCACAGCGTGAATAAGTACATCCTGAGAACTTCCTGTGTTTCCCTGGGGTGGCCTACATGGGCAACACCAACGTCCTGCTGCCCTCAGTGGCCAGGGATTGCTGAGGCAGACCACAAAGGTAGCTCATCAGGTGTGACATAGCCTGAACTGGCAGCACAGATATGATGGTTTAGCTTTTGGAAAAGCAAGAAGTGACCTACTTCACCTGCAGGAACGGGTAGAGTATTACGATGCGGTGCCTGAGGTTCCAGAGACATCCCACAGCCTCAGCTGTTGAAGCAACCAACAGTTAGGGCCACACAGCAAGAAAGTGATGAGGGCAAGAGGACTTCTGCTTTGCACAGATGCTGTACAGCAGTCAGCATCCCTTGTGGCTTCGCCATCAGTCTCAAAGGCATCCGAGCCCATCCACGCTGGGTGCCAGAAGGCATCCCCCATCCCTGCCAAAATGCTGATGCCATGGGACATTTCATCAGATGACATTTTAAATTATATTTTCCCTTTGGTGGAATCCATCCATGTGTGATGGGAACCTTATTTGCTTGTTTTATCAAGAAAATTCTTTTGTTAATTTATTTCTCTTTGGGGGGAAAGGGAAGCTGGTGACATTGTGAGACTGTTCCCCCAAAAGTCTCAAAGTAAAAGCTGACATAGTCAAGTATGAGTGATAGATCTTTTCCTACAAATTAGAATTGGCTAATTTCTCTATAATTAATTTCATTTTTTTCCTGAGAATCTTTGTTTTGTTCTTGAGTTCGAGAGCTAGGAACATGCTGCTGACTTTGCTAACAGCATGTGCAAATGCGTCATTATTTTATTTTAACTCGGTGAAAAGAGGTGCCAT